ACGTCTCATCTAGTTTTCACCCACCATCATGGTGTGTGGAAAGAATCAGGAACAGAATTCTTGGTTGCCTGTGGGGGAATGGCCTGCTGTCAGGGCTGAGCAGTAGGGCTCACTTGTCTACGCTTCAAATTCCACGGGGTTGTGATCCCAATCCGAACGTCAAGCATCAGCCTGCATCCATAGCCTGGACTTCCAAATAATAGTATTTGGAGGTTAGACATGGACAAACACCTGCTTTGAATGCCCATCCAGAAAGCTTGGCCCGTCGGCCAATCCCCTCCCCTCCCTGCTGCTGCGCACAGAGTAACAGAAAGGGCCAGCAAGGGCTATGAGACGACACTGTCCTTTTGCATCTGCTCTGACAACTTATTCCAGGCCGATGCAACTCAAACAGGTCGAGATTAATGCTCGAAAAAGCAGTCCAGTTGGAAGACTAATGTGACTTTCCCCTTAACACTGGGGCCTTTATAGCTTGATGTTTTAACTCCACTGGAATGCCATTCTTTCCATCGCCTTTATGACCACACTTGGATTTGAAACTACTGGGTCTTACTCCAGTACCAAACTCCATCTGCCCTTTCTTTCACAGACTTCAAAACATCCAGACCTGTCCTATTCTACAGGTTTCCACTGAATCAAAATGCAAGGTGCATGATTTACCGAGTGACTTGTCCTCTTTCTGAGTGCTAGGAGAAACCTCAGTCCCTGTGAGCAAGATGAATGTCCGCTCCTGAACTTGCCCTCAGCCTCCCAACCGGGGGCTTTCTTCCCAGCGCTACGGCCCATAGGGCAAGTGCTGGTCTGAGGACACAAAACAGTTTTGGAAATCTGATGTCTTCAAACCTTCGATCGCCACTTTCTAACTGTCTTTAAAACCTCTTGCCTTGTAACAGTTGCAAACTGTGGTTTTGTTGTCTGTGTGAGGGGACTAACAGCACTACCACTCTCTATGTGGGGAATGTATTCATCTAGCACCCAAACCACCTACTGACTTCCGGCACCTCTTATCAGCTAAGCCATCGGCCATGAGCTGACATTTCAGCATTCAGAAGCTCCCCACCCCCACCTCAAAAAAAAAAAAAAAGTGACAGGAGGAGAAAAGGGCTAATTTGGCAATAGTTCGCTCTTGCTGTTTGTCCTGGAGAAAGACATTCAAAGTGGTAGAAGACTGTTTAGTAACAGTTGGCGAGCACCAGGGTGTGAGGCTGATTTTCAGATATGACAGGCACTTACAGGAATGCTGCCAGATACAGCTGTTTAAAAGCCTTAATAAACAGCAAGTCAATACTAATCTTTGCCAAATTAATCTTTTCCCTGACAGCCCATCAGAGCAATTATGCTTGGGCTTATTGTAAACACACAATTGTCAAACAGGGATGTTGCAGCCTTTAAAATACTGTAGTTTGGTTTGTAGTCTCTCTTTAGAAGGGTTTGCTTTTTCTTCTGTAGAATGATAAGTCTTTCCATTTTATTTTTCGGTCACTATTCCTTTTTTTTCTGGCCTCAGGTCCATGTGAATGAAATTTCATTTTCAAATGTCTTTGCTAGCAAGCTGTTAATACAATGTGAAATCCTGACAGTCACAGGATTTGTGCTGGTGGGCTCCTTTAATGAGGCTCAATTGTGACCAGGGCAGAAATGTAACATGACATTGTCTTCTGTTGTCTCCAGGTCCCAGAACAAGAACTTCATCTTTACGTCTTACCTCGGCGGTGTAATCTGGTTCTGGGTACACACGACAAGATATTAGCTAAGAAATGAGAAAGCGAAGTCTAAAGTCTCTGTATGCACATGTATTGCAAGGTATGTGTCTGTTGGTTCGGAGGTCTCCTTCCCTCCTGGCCTACCTCCCTTGTGACTGGTGGCGTCAGGAGGCACCCCCCCCCTCGCCGCCCCCGGCAGCCCTGTGCCCTTTCTCCAAGCAATAGTCTTGTGTACGGATTTGGAAACTTTTCTGTCAGGGAAGGCTTTTCCATGATGGCACCTGGTTCCAAATCTCCTTTTGGGAGTCTTAGAAGCTAGGACCATTTCTTCTTAGCCTGGCATAATTTAGGCAGAGTCCAGGCAGTATGATCTTTTATTTATTTCATCAAGTCATACTAGCACTTGGCAATCAGAAAAAAAATCAGCATACTGTTCATCGATGTTTTAATTTAGCATTCCATACACTTGTCTCCTGAAATTTCTCTCCTGCACTCAACACTCCTACTTGTCTAGCACCTTTTTTTCTCCTTTACTTCTTGTTTTCTTGATGTGACTAGTGTGTATTCTATCTTTTACTTTTGCAACTAGAAACTCTTGTTCAGTAACATAGACCAAAAAAACAAAAGGCACAACTCATTTTGAAATTCTTTGTTATCTTTTTGTAAGTTTAGATTTCTTAATGGAAATTTTGCATTCTTCATCACTCCTAATGCTTGTCTGCAGTATCTAATTCCCTTCTATATTTAAAGAGCTTTTAAATCATCAAGTAAACATCACACAATTCCTGCTGAGGATAATCTGTGATGTTTCACTTATCTTTCTAAATATCATTGCATTTATCGTGCAGCTACTATGTGCTATGACAGAGTTAAGAGAGTTAAGAGATTATTCTATTTAAGGAAAACAAAGAGAAATTTGTGCTGTGGGGTGACCGACTCATGAATTCCCCCATCAGGTGACTCAGTGCAATAGCATTTGGGGGTTAAACTTATCATGTGAATTCTGTATCTTGCCTTGCCACTATTTCAGTGCTCAGTCATCAGCAAAAGAGATGAATTTCTGTTTTTCTACTGTTACCTTAAAATGAGAGTTATGAATGAAACGAGCAAGTGACACTCAAATCCCCTCTCAACAAATAAACATTAAGAAAACATCTGTGTGTAACAAAAACGTTAGGATGTTTATTTGGGATTTACTGGAATCTGGTAATTCAAAATATTCTTAATTTAATGAAGCTGTCTGTGACTGATTTGAAGTGAGGTACCTTGCAAACCAACAAAACTGATTACTTCTTTGAGTATTTCCCCCTAGGACTTTGTAAAGAACTTCTAATTCTAATTCTATGTGAAATTGTATCTAATGTTATAGCCCAAACCCCATCATCTCTGGTTCCGAAACACACTGGGTGGAACCATATGAAATTGCCATTTTTTGTAGGTAAATGGGTCCAATATTGGCAATTTCCTATGACTCAGTCAATTTGCCTTTCAAACGAGTACGGCAACTCTTTTGCAAAAGGCAAGAAGAGGTCCATGGAAAAAGGAAACTGAGTGTTGATGTGTTTATTGTTTTTAATTTTGAATTTATGAATGAAAGAAAATGTCTTAGTGATGAATTCAAGCCAGGACACATTGTTCCCTGGAGGCCATGGTTGTCTGTGGACCACTCCTGCCCCTTTTCCGACGGGTTCTGTTCCTTTAAGGCAACAGGTGAAAACAGTCACAGAGACCAACTTTCTCGTTCTTAGCTACATTCACTAATTTGATTATGGAAGTCATTACTTGACCAATTTCCCGTTGTCCACTCATTCACATTTGATTGGGAATTGGGATTTTGCACTATTCTTTCTCGTGTATGTTACAGACAAAACCCTCCTCTAACCACTGGGACACTTTCTTTTTTTTCTTTTCTAATTGATTCTAAGTTTGACTTTGGTATGTTGGTAAAGATACTATATGTTCAGCATTATTGCCGAATTTCCCAGAATGACTTTTTCCGAGATCTGGGAATCCTGCGGAGTGCCACAGCGGGGAACTCAGTGTCCACCATCACTGTTCCTTCAAGTCACAAGCTCCAAGCTGCTGTGGCCCAGGCCGGATGCCGGCTTCCTCAAGCAACACCTCACAGTCCTAGAGCTCAGGTTGATGAGAGGGCTTCCAGAAAGAACATTTGTGGCCGTGGCGGGCATGAATCCCTACCGTGCCTCATCACTACTGCCATGAAATTCACTTGGGATTTGTCATCTGACTGGGTCTGTCCTTTAGAGACTGATGGACATCCAAATAGAATACGGTCACGCATGGTAATAATTTTTATTTACGATGTATTTTCTTTTATTTACATTTGTTTTTTTACCCCCCCCCTTTTTTTTTTGGTATCGAGTTTTAACACTCTCGCTACCCTGGTTGCACACCTGCTCTAGAAAAGCTGTAAACAACATTCTACTTCCCTGTACAAACTGCCTGTCAAAGTCAAAGCTGGTCGTTCTCATCCCAGTAATTACCTCCTCAGTTTAGACTTAATTCAAGTGAAAATTTTACTTTATCATAATATAATAAATAAAAGACATTAGGTAATTAGTAGTGCTGGTATATTTCTAAAATACTAAACAGACAAACAATAAACTGTGAACTTAATCACATGAGTTCTTATACAGTTTCAAGACAGGAAAATTAGAGCTCTCAGCTACAGTCATTTTAATAATCACATTGGATCTGCATTATTTATTAGTTATTACATGCTCAAGTGATTCAAGGTTGTACAATGCCTAAAATCATTCCAAAGCAAGCATACCTTTTGTCTTTTTAATTCTGACTGGATTACACAATGCATTTATTTGTATTTAGTTAAATTGCTAAGTTTATTTCACACATTCCATGAAAGACACATCAGCCATCCTCTTAATTTCCAACCAGACTAGCTTTCTTTATGCAATCCCCTGTAAGGGAGTAATTTGCTAGCTCTTTTGGATAAAAAGCTTTGCAAACCTTCAGCCAGATTCTCAATGCTTTTGGTTCCCTAGCAAATCTCTAATACCCTCAGAATTCTCTTGGAAGACTTCAGAATTCTGGAAAGAGAAGTGGCTTGTAGAGGCACAAAAGACAGCAAGAATCTCAATTTCTATCAATAGCTTTCAAATTTGGAATGCTTTCCTTTTTTTTTTTTTCTTTTGCTGTCTGGTTACTCACCTTTCATTTGGAGACATATTCTTGACAGTACGCTTTCCCATCCTACCCCACCTCTGCTTTAATTCCTAAATGTTTTCTGGATTTTGTGAAAAGCATGCAGCTTGAGGAATTTTAGTTGATTCAACTTCAATCGTTTTTCTTTTTTTTTTTTTTTTGGAGGAGGGGAGTTTACAGGATTGACTAAAACCAGCTGAGAACCAAGAAGCAACACTTTTCAGATAGAGAGCCCATCTGTTTAGTCCTGGAGCTTGTGTGACTTTTTAGGGCAATTCTCTGTTATATTGTATGAAGAAAGAAAGTTCTTAAGTATGAGTTTTTTGTTTGCATCCACCAAAGAAATGTAGAAATAAAGGATTGGTTACTTTAATTTGCTGCTAAATGAAAAGTAGGTTTGGCTTTATTTATGTCACTGTAAAAACTAAATAATAAAGTATTCACACCAAGCGTGAATTTTTTTTTTTACCAGCAAAAGTTAAAACATCAAAGAAACCTCTTTCGAATACTAACAAATTTACTTACAAACACCTATATTTATTATTTCATAAATAGGCGCAACAGTTTCCATAAAAAAAGATTAAATACAGACACAGTATGAAGAAACAATAATACAGAGCCATATGTAAAGGTTATAATTTAGCTGTTTCCAATCTGTTTCTGCATCTAATAAAATACCAGGTAAGCATTTGGCAGTTTTATACATAAAAGGACTTAAATGACATTTACTAACCATTACACAAAAAGTGATACAAAAAAGCAATTTTTCTGCAGTACAAAATAAATGTGTTTGCGCTTCCCTTAACACTCGTTTCTTTTTGTCTGGTCAATGAGACAAAGCCAATTTTGTTTTTAAATTAAAATCATTTGGGAATACGTTTTTTTTTCTCAAATATTTTGAAAATATAGAACTATTAGTTGTTTTAAAAATGAAGTAAAAATATGAATGTTTGCCAATTTAACCCCTATTGTGAAATCAATAAACTGGAATGAGCCAGTTTCAAATTACAATTTAGCTACAAAAACATTCACATTTTATACTCTAGGAGAGTGTGACATAGATGCTATTTACAAACCTTGCTATGATTGCTACATCAAGCCATTTAAAAAGTCTTTAGTAGTTTCATATAAACACCCATTATGAAAACCAATGGAAAATCCAGGACTTTTATCCGAGACATCTACAGTTGCTAAGGCAGTTACTATCGCGCAGCACTTCACAGCAAAAAACCAACATAAAATCTGAATGGTCCAAATTTCCTTCAGGGAAGAAGAAAAACAATGTCCATAAGGGATTAAAAAAATAATAAAGAAGCATGACTATTTCTTCCAGAGTGGGTGACCCACAAGCTCAAATGGTCCTAAGTGCTTAGCAACTTGTATTTTTCTAATAAAATGGAGAACTGCCTTGGCTGTACAAAGCAGTCCGGTGAAAAAGACTTCCCTGAATTCCTCAGTGGAAAGAAGAGGTGTTCCGACTTTCAGGTAAGGTACAGAGCTTTGTCCCTCTGCATGCCCCTGTGTGAAGAGAAAACAGACAAACAACGCCTTTACATCTAAAACTAATGATGTAATGTATGGTGATTAACATAACAATAAAAAATTAAAAAACAACAAAAAACAAAACAAAAAAAACAGCGCCTTGTTACAAGATTGGTGCTACAGGTGACCGCGGGGGGCATCTGTCTATTTGTTCTAGCTTGAGGGATGGAGCGGTGCACTGGGAAAGGGCCCAGGTACATCGAACAGGGATGAAAGGCATTGTTTATTCTTGGAACGACTAGAACTGCTTAAAAATTTCTGGATTGGTGTCTTCTGCTTTCCCGAACATGGAACCGTTCCAGATGATCTTTTAGAACTAGCAGGATAGAAAAGACGGGATCTTTCCATCTCCCAGGGAGCCGGGCACGCCAAGCATGCTATGAGAGCTGTCCACCACCAGGTGGCGATGACCCGCCGCTTACCCACTACTACAGTAGTCGTTATTCCAGTCCACCGGCTGGGCGGGAGGGTTTCTGCACCCAGAACGCACATACTCCATTGCTTGGGTTACCACTTGTGCAGCTGTGGATGTAGGATTGATTATAGTCTGATAGTCGGGTTGAAGAGTAAAACCCTGAAAGGGAAAGCAAATCCACAAATAAGGATCAAAGTGCCTCTTTTTTTTTTTTTTTTAAGGAAGAAAAGCCCCTAAATATTTATCCATTGTTTGCAAACACACTCCCGCCTTCTCACTTGTGCCTTTGTAAGGGCAAACGTATCCCGAGGGCCCAGAAAACTTAAAACAAAGGTAGAAAAGACGTGCCCACGACCCTATTCTTCTTACCTTTCCTTCACTGAACATGTGTGAGAAAACCTTTAATTACATACTCTTGAGCAGATAAACTGAATTGAGAAACAACTTAAAATATGGAGAAGCCAACTCAATCAGAACAAAGGGAAAAGGACCTAACCCCTCAGTTTATGTTTTCTATCAAACCTAAGGATACATTAATAGTTAATCCCCAGAATATGCAACAGAATCTTTTTTGAAGGATTCAGGCAGCAGGTGGCTGAGTGTTTTATTAGACTACACCTATTCACATATTGTTCTTGAAACCCGTTTTCTTCGTTCAATCACAAAGGGACCATCTGCTTCTTCTTTTATTTGTACTTCTTTCTCAGCTAAAAAATTTCAACCAAAGCTTTTTAACAGTTGTTGGACTAATATAAGGAAAGAGATTCAAAGCAACTTGCCACCGGAAAACACAGAGAAGGAAAAGTGTAAGACAGAGCAAATATTTTTAAATTGAAAAGTCTATTAACTGGCAAATAATAATCAGACTTCAGGAAGAGTCCTCTAATACACTGGTATGGTGAAGTGTTGACTTGTAATCCTTGCAAAGCTATTAAAAATTCAAGGACAGAATCTCTGAAGTATATAGTTATATCTGGTAAACAAAAAGCATTATACACTAAGATTTATTTTTAGCTTATCTGGTGAATTCAAGAGCAGCATAAGCAAACTTTGCTGGAAATGACCAAAAAAGCAACTTAATTAATCTCGTGGTTATCTCCTTCTGCTGTGGATTTCATACATGGTTTTTAACCACAGAAAAATCAAGAGATTTAAAAATGAACCATTCCGTATTTACTTGCGGGGAGCTTTGGGAGGCATAATATTGAGTTTTTGCTGTTTTTGCTTCTGTTTTTGTTTTAACTCAGCAGAATGATCAGAGGATTGACTTTTAACTAAGGATATTTCCTTAGACTTTGATTCGTGTTTCAGTATCCCTTGGGTAAACACTCAAAGGTACCTATTATCAAATGTCTTCAATTCTCCATTTTGGCCTTAAGATATTAACTTATTTTCCATTCCAGTGATAAAGACCGCAAGCCAATGTCCACACTAATTCCCACCAAAACTGTGGATGAAAGACAAACCTTTGAATGATTAGAAACACATCACTGAAAAGTAGAAAATTCAGCCAGCCTGGCTATTTGACTTCACACAGACTAAAAGGAATAAAATATTTCCTTATTTTACAACTGGTTTGTGGAAAATAAGTATGTTTGTGTAGACAACACCTGCAGCTCAAGCTATAAACATTTTCCAAAAGAGCAAAGTGAAAAGTAAGAGGTACAACTGGATGTTTGATTCTCTAGTTCTTTCCAGGCTGATTTCCTTTCTTTGTCGAGACCATGCTATCCCTCTGTCACACAAGGAGTCCCACTGGCTTTGATGGAATGTATTCATTCCATTACGGTCTTACAATATTGTCTTTTCTTTTTTTTTCCTTAAGTAGGCTCCATACCCAGTGCAGAGCCCAACGTAGGGTTCGAATTCATGACTCTGAGATCAAGACCCCAGCTGAGATCAAGAGTTGGATGCTCAAGTGATGAGCCATCTTATAGTATTGTCTTTATGGGGCTTATCATCCAGCTTGCTTGACTTCTTTCCTAGTGTCTAGGGTGATACTGGGCAAACAGCAGGACAAAGCTCCCAGAGAGAGGAGCCTTATGTTGACTTCCATTTTGCTCCTGTCATAAGGGCTCTGGCCACAGGGACTGGAGACCAGAGTGTTGCATTGCTTACTGGATATTCTCAGGGCCTAATCTGTAGTAGTGGCTCAATAAATCATCTCTTCCAGTGAATAAAGCTTAACACAGACTCCTGTTGGGAAGGCATGGGCTGTATAAATATGTAAATGTCAGGGGCTTTCCTATCGTTTTAATGTGAAGTTCTCCATATTGGATTTTTGCGCAATGGACAAAACATAACCTAAAAGTAAACAAGTGTCAGAAAAGAGTAGTTGGAAATATCTTGAGTTAGTTGAAGGCATGACAACATACAAGAAAGCAAAAAACAAATAAAAACAAACCAACTCCCTTCCACCCAACCCTACACAATCAACAACAGAAACCACCATTGCTTTTTTTCCCGTCCAATGAAAATGGTTCCTGAAGGGCGGGTGAGAGACTGTCAGGAGAACACTAACCTTTGAGCTATTAGTTTAAGATTAAATGGGTAACTTCAGTGTATAAAACCAAAATGATCTGTCATCGACAAAGTTCAAAGATTTAAAATTCAGCTAACCTCACTGCCTAAATTTAAGAAGATCAGTAACATCCAAGCAACCAAGGATCAAGAAAAATACAAGTAAAGCCTTAAATAACATTATTTTACTTGCTCTTGATTTGGAAAATGCAATATTCTTCTAACACTAGTAAAGAGGTGCTGAGGTTGAACCTAGAGCTAAGTACATTTTTATTATTGATGTAAATATGAAACAACAATGGTGATATACATTTTTGGAACATGTTTGCTTAGCGGTCTAATTAAACAAGGCTGAATATTTTGCATTTTAATGCTCAAGAGAAAAATCACCAACTGTTTTGTAGCATGCCTGGAATTTTAAATTTCATTTTCTGGTGCCAGATTGAAATAAAAATAGAAAACATGATAAAGATTGATTTGATGTCAGAAGGGACATTTGCTCTTTAATTAGATTTCTGTAGCCCTAACATTTTTGTTGGGCCACATAGCAAGTCCTAAAAAGCCTGTAGCACAACCAAACAGTGATCCTCATATCCACACTTTACTGGGAACTAATTTCATTTCCTGCCTGTCTGGAGAGGTATTTTCAACAGGCATCAATGTTTTTGTCTTCACAACTGATTTATTCATCAATCTCAATGTGATTTTTTTAAACCTTTAAATTACACCCAAATCCTAAAGCAGCTGTTTATTACACGAGGAAATTGAAAATCTGTCTGTGTGATATCATACAAAGATTTTTTCTTAGGGTTATAAAGGAAGTTGACAGATATTAATGATTTTTTTTCTCATGACCTCATTCGACAATATAGTGAGCAGAAAAAAGGGAAGAAAACTGGACTAAAAAAAAAAAAGTAGCTCCATGGGTTTGGTGTATAAAATATTATTCTAGAAAAAAATGAAACTATTATTCTTGGTGGACTATACAATCATTTTTGTAGGATATATTCATTTTTTCAGAAGGATAATAAAATAGCTAACATAATACTGAAATATGAGATTATTTTAAAAATACAGTAGCCAGTAACTTGCTTTCTCTTTCTCTCATTTTCTTTTTTTCATGTTTGAGTATGTGAACATGGCCCCCACACCCAGGAAGCAAACATCTTCAAGATAAAGGTGGTTTGGATGGTGCATCAGACAGGTCAAATTTCACCCACAACCTGGTTCTACAGCCATGGGGTAAAGACCAACTTTGAGAACTTGAACTTTGTCCCCGACAGACTGTTGTGATTTTAATAAATTGAGTGACATCATGGCTGACGGACTTTTTGATCCTGATTTTAGGATTATCAACTTGTTGGGGTTGCCAGTCCTCTTAACCTGAGGATCCTACTCCACTGACCTGCCCATGACTTGACCTCACTCCCCATGGCTCTCCCCTGATTCACCATACTTCCCACTGGCCTCCTACTCAGGTCCCTGACCAGCCACGCTCCTCCCCAAATGGGTCCTTCCAGCCTTGAGCCTCTTTTCCCTGTTTCTGGCCTCTGCTGGTTTTCCCCACCTACTCTGCCCACCTCTTTTTTTTTAAATAAGAATTTTATTTATTTTATTTTATTTATTTATTTGAGAGAGAGAGAGAAAATGAGAGAGAAAGGAGCGAGAAGAGGCAGAGGGAGAAGCAGGCTCCCTGCTGAACTGTGAACCTGATGTGGGGCTTGATTCCAGGGCCTTGGGATCATGACCTGAGTCGAAGGCAGACGCTTAACCGACTGAGCCACCCAGGGCCCCCCCGCCACACACACCTTCTGATTCATACAGGCTGCTTCCTCTTCTCAGACTTCATGTGTCTGTGCCAGCCCTCTACAGGGCCTTCTTTAACCATTCCAGCTGAAGGCTCTGCTATTTCTCCATACACTCTGCAGTCTGAATTGCTGTTCAATGCCCACCCCCCACAGGATCTTACTAATTTATCTGTTTATCTTATTACCACCACCACACCGCCACTGCTCCTCAACTCTGATGTCAGCTACATGGGGACAGAGGCCTCATTACCTGTTCTCATTTATCATTCCAATTCTTTTTGTATTTTTAAAGATTTTATTTATTCATTTGACAGAGAGAGCCAGATAGCACAAGCAGGGGCAATGGCAGAGGGAGAAGGAGAAGCTGGCTCCCTGCTGAGCAGGGAGCCCCATGCGGGACTCGATCCCAGGACCTTGGGATCATGACCTGAGCCGAAGGCAGACGCTTAACCAACTGAACCACCCAGGCACCCCTATCATTTAATTTCCAGAGCCTAGACAGTGTCTGGCACACATTTGGGGTTCAATTAATCTTTTTTTAATAAATGCAATTTAAAAAAAACTTCGAAAGAATTGAGATTCTACAAACTAACCTATAATTTCTTCTAATATTTAAACACTTAAGTTACTCATTTTTAGTTGCTCGTTTGTTCATTTGTCCATTCAACAATTATTTTACTTCAACCACCATGATCCAGGCATTGTTAAAAGTGATGTTAGTCACTGTAGTCTTTTAGCTATTTGCTCTCCATTTGGGGTTCATGCCATTTTGTCTTCTATTATTAATGTAAATTGAAATCAGGTCCTACCATCTCAGTAAGAACACTTTTTGAGATACACTAATAGAACTGACTTAAAGATTGATGAATAACGTGTCCAGTGTAATCTGTTCTATTTTTTCCTATTCAGTTCCGATTCTCTATAGAAAGACAAATCTCTTGAGTTTTCACATGTGGCCTTAAGAAATTCTGAAATGTTTGAAAACTCCTCAGGATCACAGCTAGCTCATCCAAGGTGTATGTGTAAGTAGAAAAAGGAACCATCTCTAAGCGGATAAGTTAGAAAATAGTGTCCTCTCTAGACAGGGCTCTAGCCCTCAACTTGGTGGAGGGGACTGTGCCTTCTCTATTCTCTTGTCTGGGAAGAAACAGACCCGAGCTAGAGCATCGTGAGCAGAACACGGGCCCTCAGCCGGGCAGCCCCTTAGGCTGGAGTCAATCCAACAACGCAAGGTTGTGTTCCTCAAACTCTTCGTTCTTTACACAAACACTACTGGTTCATTCACATGCAAGGACACCCAAGAGTGTCCCTTTTATTGTGAGTGATGTCTGATAGAAAGAGCAGAAATTTGACCCTATGAATGTCACTTGCTAGTCACAGACACTGCTGTGGACAAGGTATGATGGTAGAAGTTGACTTTTCCCCAGACTTCTTCCCTAGTGAATCAACAGCTAGTCTGGATAATAAGACATCAGAGCTTTATCAAAATCTTCGGCTTAGGGACCAGGGAAGGCTTCAGTAAAGAGACTTCGGTCCATTTGCTCTCTATAATCATTTTAATCTTAAAACTAACTAGGATTTAAAGACCCTCCAAATTCTTGGGAGACACAGGTTTTCTAATACAAAACTGGTAATAGTCTATAAGAATGATTAAGTGTGAGAGGCCCAGGGCTAGCATTTAAGAATCCAGGCTCTGATTTCTGAACAGAACTGGGTTTTAAATTCTAGCACCAACCTTATGGGCATATGACTTAACTCTGCCAAGCTTGAGTTCTTTGCTTGTAAAATGAAGATAATACTAGTTCCTGCACTACAAATTTTCTGAAATTAAACACAAGGTAAAGTAATATATTATGGTTTGCTATTGTCAGCTCTCAGAAATCTTGTCTACAATTATAATAATAAAAATAAACGTGGTCAGCACTTGGGTGGCTCAGTTGGTTAAGCAACCAACTCTTGATTTAGGCTCAGGTCATGATCTCATGGGTCTCGAGATTAAGCCCCACATTGGTCTCCACACTCAGCAGGGAGTCTGCTTGAGATTCTCCCTCTTCCTCTGCTTCCCCCTCCAACCCCCCCACTCACGCTCACTCTCTCTCAAAATAAATAAATAAAGCCTTAAAAAATAAATTTGGGGGTAGTATATTAGATTCTTTTTTCTGCCCCCTCTCCATCCCACCCTGGTCCAACTATAGACTCAAATTCCACAGAGGGCTAGATATCAACTCAATTAGAAGCCCATGTTTGCATATTTAGTCATAGCTCTGGGAACAATAGAGTAATTGGATTATAAGTGATAGATGAATTTGACACGATTTGCAGTTTTCAGCTTGATGTATGTTTTTAAAACAAGTTTTCAGGATTCTTGACTGCTTTATGTTTAGTTTCATTTGCACCATTTGCTCCTCATTTTAAAATTTTAAAATAACACCAAATCCTAAAGGAAAACTTGACTTTGAAGGAAAGTTAAGCTAAGATTGCACACAAATCCTTTCAGTAATTGGGGAGTGGGCAGAGAGGCTTCCAAACTTCTTGTGTTTTCTGATTTGTTCAGAAGCCATATATCTATTTTTAAACAAAACACCAGTTAACATTTCCATTTCTTAGTATTTTAAAAGTTGTACCAATCTGATATTTCTGAATATCAAAAAACAATGGGTCTGATTTCATTTGGTGGCATTTATTGGCCTCAACAGGCATACCAATCAAGGTTTTCCAAACAAATTTTTTTTTTTTTAATGTAGAACCCTCAGTCCCAAAGAGGTCTTTAGCAGGAGTTGGCATCTCAACATTACAAATGTACTTTACTCAAGGAGCAGAAAACAAGGAAGGTGATTAGAAATGTGATTTCTATAAATGTGGCAAAAGGCCAGGGAGGGATTAGGAAAAGAAGCAGCGATCCATTGTTGTGATCCTATAATGCTGCCCAAACTCACCACCTGTAAATTATTATTTTTCAGAAAGCAGATGTTTGTTGACTAGCTTCCATTTTCTGTCTATTAAATAGCACAGAACACATATATCCCCCCCTCTCTTTTGCTGGATGGAGAGACCCCCCTCCCCCATCACTCTCCCCTCCTCTCCTCACTCCCTGTCCCCCGCCCCCCCACCCCTCCACACTTTGGAATTGGAGTCCAGAGCGTAAGCACATACCTGCTGCATGGGAGGTGAGTGTAAGGCAGACTGGACCTGCATGGGGAGCTGGTTCCCAAGGGGCTGCTGCATGGCAAGTGGCGGGTGCTGGTGCATGTTGAGATGCTGGTGAAGAGGTGGACTGATCTGGAGGGGAGGAGGGGGGGACACGGCCATGTTTGCTATAGAGACAGTCACTGGCATTTGGTTATTCGGCTTGGGGGCTATGCTCCTGGGGAGACTGGGATGCATGGCAGTTAGGTGAGGATTCATTCCTGGTTGTTGGTGGTAGTGGGAACTTAGGTACAGAGCTGAGTGGGCCTGGCTGGGCCCATGGAACACTGACGGCTTTGAGTTGATCAGCTGAGGAGGTTGAGATGTCTTCACATCAACAGGTTCACTGTAGCTCTGTGAGGAAACAGACAGGAGCAGAGTTCAGAGAGGGACACACGGGGTGTTGATTTATATCAGCAAGATGCTCGGGGAGTGTGCTAGGGAACTTCAGCAGGAATCAACACCTGTTACTCTTCTTGACTCTTGTCTAAGAACTCTTCCACCATTATTTGTAACGCAACTGAGGCAAGACTGAGCTTAATCTGCTTTTTGTGATATCTAAAACAATCTCCAATGACATTTCCTTTTTCTATGCCTCAATGCAAGCTCTAACTTGGTGACTTTTCTCATCGTGCAGACCATGAACAAGATGGGGGGGGGCAGGAGGGAGGCATGGATGTCATCAGTGCCCTGATAGGAAATATAAGTATGGCTCTCTTTGAAAGTAATTCAGTTCTGGAGTTCTTCTATTGATTGTTTCATTTTCTGTGTTTCCTTTTTATAGCCTTAGGGAGCCTTGGCCTAGATATTTGCACAAAGAAAACAAAGCTGGTTGATGGAAATGAATATGGGAAAAGGAGTTCTAAAATACCTTTCTGAAGTCATATAAAACCACATTAATATAGTTTCTAAGTAACCACAGAACTCATCTTGATTTTTTAAAGAAGTTGGTGATGAATTGTCCCCCATAATGAACTGGATAAAAATAATCTTAGAAATTTTTGACTCCATCATAAATTAATATAATTTTGCCCTAATTTTTTTATACCTTCATAAGGTCATTTCCTAATAATCTTTTCATTGACTTAAAAACTAGACCTAGCAGTGGGAGCTGCAAAGAATCAAGAATTAGCCCCAAAGCATTTCTTCCGGCTTAAGAACCCACCTCCTACTTTTGCTGAGAGAAAGAGGCTGATAAAACAAATGGGGAGAAGTGAAACTGGCTGGGGAACGAACATGCTACCATGTCCTTCTGGAGAAAAAAGTTGCTTTGTCAAAACAGTGTCTTGAGGATGCAAATAACCTTATTCTGCAACCTTGATATCATGCTTATTATGTCTATGAGTCAAATGAGCTCCTGTTACTGTGGCCGGGTCTTTCTGAAACCTTCCCAAGACATACAGCACCATCAATGGATCGGCACATTAGGGACACTGGTCGTCACGTAAGATGACCTGAAACACATCATGGGAACTTCATTTCACAAGTCACCCTATAACACTGTTAGCAATGCAACTCGTTTTTCCCCATTAGTGTAGGAAAATGAAATTGACACCACAATGAGAACAACGGTGTGTCTATGTGCGGACTCAAGAACGGTAGGCTGGGGTAAACGAAAGAGCAGCCCCACATTCTCTCTCCAGAGAAAGGACACAACTGACATCTGTGAAAATACACCAAACCTTGGAAATCTGGGGTCCTGGGAGGCTCTGAATTCTGGGTGTACCCAGAGAATTCGAGCCCCTCCAAAGAATCCTCTCCTTACAATATTTATCTCTGTGTCCATATTGATGGTGCCCTTATGAAATAGGAACCGACATTCGGACTCCCTGTCTCCTGTATGAATATTAAAAATGTCAGAAATTGTTCACACACATTTTCAAGGGATGGCTTTAGGAGAAAGACGCTCGGTGAAATGCAGGACTTAAATGGTGCTTTCAATTAAAAAAAAAAAGAAACTTAAGCAGATTTTTTTTGTTTTTTGCTTCTACTTAAAAATTCTTATTGTTGATGTGCAGAGTAGTGAACAATTCCAGGAAAAGGTCAAATGGGTTAATTCAGGCTGTGTAAACAGTGACTAGTCCTACATCAGAATAGCATGTACTCCAGTGATACACTTCAAAAATCATTCCATATATGCCAAGAAGATTATGTGTTTATTGTGTGTCCATGTAGTGAAGTCATTTGGGAAAGCGTTTCATTGTATTTACCGCCTCCTCCTTAGCCTGCCACAGAAGGGCTAATTTCATACTTAGTCACATACTGCATCAACTCCCTGCAGGAACAGAACTGTTACACACGATAGATATCTATAAAATTTAATCCATGTGAGTGCATCTTTATTTCTTGCTTTATAGATGTTTTTAATTTAAATAGAAGAAAAATCACTCCCATCACCCATACTATCAAAGCTCTGAAATATGTGGATGGGAAAATGTTTTCATTTTTAATTCTCGAGCCAATAATCACCTCGTCATCAAGTAACACGGTATCTCCAGAGTATAGTTAGGTGACCTGATCGTGTGTATGCATAAACAAAATGCACATAGGCGCATATGACATGTTGCTCAGACATAATCATACAATCGTCCCGGGAACTGCAGCCATGTAATTAAATAAATGCATTTGTCCAACTGAACAACCTTCGAGAAATAGACTTAGGCCACATGTAGAAATAGAAATGCCAAATCCTGGTGAGTCCAGACGCTTGGCCAGCAGTGGGGCTGGCTCCGGGGGCCTGCAGCCAGTCCTGGCAAGCCTTTCTAGGGACAACACCCACTTCACCCCGCTGACACACGCAGTTCCAAATTGTACTGCGGGGGATGTGTGGAAAAATAAATATCTTATAAAAAACAAGGTTCCAGGATAAAGTGTGTAGGGAAACAAGCCAGTGCCTTCTCGGAGCCTTCAGTAGGCTAATGTGTGTTCTGAATCTCCAACTGAGAACCACAGAAACCTTCTCTCAATGGGTCATTTCATGAGAATCATCTTCAACGGAAAGCACTGGTTCAGAAGAACTAATAAATTACACATACATATTTAAAATGGCAAATAGAACTACAATTTAAATAGTCATTTCTTGCCTGAAATAAGCTAATTTTTTGTTGCCTCGAGTTGCATACTTAAATTACACAATCCAGGTGTAATATTACACTAATCTATAGTTTCATGTTTCTTGGAAAACTATCCGCATAGTGAATTTCATATTCTAGGCTAAGGACAGTGACACAATTTCTTGAAGGAATTAGGAAGCTGGTGGCTTCCCAATTTCAGCCTAGAAGAGCTAAGGCATGTACATGGTAATGGTTATCTTCAATGGTGAATTCAAAAGAAACAATGAACCAAATTCTTCTGAATTCCACCTTTTGAATAATAGCATGCGGCCCACCGTTTAGAGAGATGATAGAAAGATTGTTTCACAGATGGGAGATACAGAGACATAGGTACATAAAAATAGATTCCAGCCTAATTTGAGATACTTCTTGCCAACCTCATGAAGACTATTTTCTCATGGTAATTACACAAAACATTTTGTCTATCCAGCCATTTGTTTGTCTTTTATCTTCTCCACACTAAGGCATGTAAATATCAGTAATGCTAAACCTATTTTTAGCTAGTACTTTTAATCCCTAGAAGGACTATTGGCAAACAAATTAAATAGATTTCCAAAAATGATGAGTTAGACAACACTCAAAACATAATTTTTAATATGAAGTTTGGGAAGTTGCATGTTTTCCCTTTACTTTCATTTTTTTTTTTTTTAATTTATTTGAGAGAGAGAGAATGAGAGACAGAGAGCATGAGAGGGAGGAAGGTCAGAGGGAGAGGCAGACGCCCTGCCGAGCAGGGAGCCCGATGCGGGACTCGATCCCGGGACTCCAGGATCATGACCTGAGCCGAAGGCAGTCGCCCAACCAACTGAGCCACCCAGGCGCCCCTTCCCTTTACTTTCTAAATTGTTGAATGTGACACGATGGATAACGTGTCCAGTGTCTAGCTATGTGCTTATACATGATAGGCACACCAACAGAGGCTCGCTCTCTGACGTCTCTCTTGATGACAACGTCCTGCATCATCAAGGAAAGGATCTCTGTTATGGTAAGAAGTTGAATATCTGTGTCTCATGCATCTGGCATAGTGACAGGACATAGAGAACACAAATACATTTGTTGAATGACCGAATGACTGTTCTTGACCAAGACTCCATGCTGTCACTGTTTCCCTTGCTGAGACTCCTGACAAGATAGGCCATTCCTCTTTCCAAGGGGTGAGGAAAGATCTGAAATCTTTGAAAACCCACAGAATATCAGATTGGTCTTTTCCACTCTCTCGTCTGCTGTCAGTATGAACCATACCTTTCCAGAAGTGATGAGAAATTATAACCCTCTGTCCTTTGGTTAGGTACCCTGCCCTTTACTCCCCACTGGATCTGGGGTGGATGGCGGGCTGCAAGGAAGCTTACTGTGTTCCTTGTACAAATTTTAAGAATTTGTATCTTTATGTGAAGGTCCACTCATTTAGATGGTGAAAAAAATCTGCTTCTAGTTTCACTTCTGGTTAATTCTTAATCAGACTAATACAACAAACTGCCTATTAATTACAGAAATACTTTATTTCTTTGGAAGATAGGTAGAATAAGTTCATTTTCCATAGCAAAGTGCCATGAATTCATAATCCGATTAAGTGGGAATATGAAGAAATCATAAATTTAATCTACTCTGTCACTTTCTTCTAATTAAACTATGAAAGCAAGGCTACAATTTTGCAAATCAATTAGATTGTTTATGAAGATCTCTATACCTACCATTCATAAATTAAAACTGCTTTCTCATACAAACTAAGTAATTTAAATTTGCTTCTATTTTCAAATACACTAACCACTTTTTGTTAGCGGTGTGTGCTTTGGGAAGGTCACCTGGTAAATGTGATTTTACCACTGTATACACAACTGAAAATCTACCCCTGAATCTGACATTTTCCTGGGCGGAATGTGTTTTTGCTATTAGTTTCTGAGTGAGTTCTATTTCCTATTTGCTTTTAGACCACTGATTCTGAAAGATGTTTTCCATCAGCAAAACGAGCGCGCGCGTGTGTGTGTGTGTGTGTGTGTGTGTGTGAACAGAGACCTTTTGGGTCTTCTCAATAGAATCTTCCACAAGAGACACAACTCTATAAACATTAAGATACTTCTGATTAACCATGTTGTTGATTATCTGAGACAGTTTCAATCCCATTTACTTTGTATAAAGCACACAATACTGAATAGTGTATAAATGCCCCCATTCTGGGATGATAAGTGCTATAAAAATGAGAAACTGACAAAGCAATTGTTATTTAAAATAGCAAAGTATAAA